AATGAAGGCATCTTCTCACCATTTGCAGAAATTGTAAATAATAGTGTGTTAGTACTACCAGTACCAGCAGTTTGACGAAACACAGGATGATTTGTTGCTGATACAACCTTGGTATTTGATCCTATTCTCGATAACTTTCAAATGTCGTAAATCTGGCAACCCGGCGCGTTTACCGCAATATGACCAATTATATATCGTTATAGAGATTGCTCACCTTTATTTAAATATGACTACGAAAAGCGTCTTTCCAAGTGTTCACTGAATAGAATCGTTCTGGCCCAAACCTGTTTTTAAATAAAATTTCAGCCTTTTATTATTAAGAAACAAAAAAAAGAATGATCTATTTTACTTCAAGACATCATATTATAATAGGTGTTTTGAACACATATTTTTTTGTATTGTAAAGTTGAGTTTTCATATTGTCAAATAATATTGCGAGATCTAAACAATTTTATAACAGAGAAACAGTAACAAAGCCTACAGAAAACACATATTATTAAAAATCAAATATTGTAAATATCTAAGCCATAAAACACTAATACTTATTATAATAAAAATTATGATTAATTATACAGAACAAAGTTTTCTTGATTACTGAATAAAATTAATTTTATTCTAATTTCATAGCACTAGCCTACAATAGTTTCAATTAACAATATAAACTATCTGTAAAATGGGGAAGGTAGGTTTTTTCACAGCACTTATACCTCATAAGGCACATTGTGCATCCTCCATGTGGGTATAAAACCTGCCTTTCAACTGGTCAAAATCTGATGCATACCGTCAAATTATCTAAATATTATTTAATTGAAAGTCATATAAGGTACGAGATAATTGGATGGGGGTGTGCTCTCTAATCATACAGTCATCCACTAGAAGTAATCATCAGATGATCTATATAACGAAATTGGAGTGCTCGATGTTAAGCAACTATATTACCTAACAATTGCCTTTAAATATCAGGACGTTAAACAATTAAATTACCCTATCACCAACATGACACACGAAAAAAAAACATTATACACTACCAAAAATGCAAAAATCCTTATGTCAACGTTCTTTCCGGTAGGTATATCGTTTCAAAGATATTTAGCTCAATCCCTGAAAATATTAAAAATTTAAATGGCAGACTAATTTACAAAAATCTTGTAAACAATTTTTTTACAGTAAATCAAGACATTATTTTAAAGAAATAATTGAATTTTGTTTCTAGCCTTGAGTTTTGTATTCCTTTTTACCTCTTATTAATATTCACCAAAATTTAAATTAAAAAAAAAAGAAAATAATAATTTAATTAGGTTTAATTAATATTATATAATATTTAGTTAGGTATATTTAAAATGTATTGGGTTTTAGGGTTTCTATCTTTTTCATGCTTTTTATCTTTTTTATGTATAAAACAGGAATCATAAAAAATAATATAACAAACAACTTTCATTTGAACAATTTGCTTAAAAATTTTTTTTACATTTTGTCAAATTTCTCGAATACGGACTATTATACAGAAATTATATATAGGACAAGAATTATAGAGAATTATATCACAATAGAGAGAATAATATTAGAAGTAACTTATATTTGAATAATTTTTTCCAAATGGAACTAATAGATACATTTCATAAAATATAAACGACCCCCTATAAAGTACCCCCCAGATGTTTCGATTCTGCCTAAAATCTTATAAGTTACCTCTGGTTGGAATAAAGTTAAAAATTTTATATTTTTGTCTTTATCCGTTTTTGACTTTTCTTTAAAATTCGAAATTTACACTTTCAATAAAGAGGATTTTAAAATGTTTTCCCTGCTTGCAAGCTTTTGTTTCTAGAATAATTTAATTTTAAATAATTTAATCCCGCACTCACCTACTTTAAAAAAACCCGATGCTAAAATGTTTCTTGTTTTAAATACGAGATATATTATTTTAAAGCTTACATATCACCTACCATACAAGATACATTTTTATATTCGCTAGATGTTGGAACTAGACACATATCAGCAATACCAAATTAGTAAAATTTTATTAAAATACATTTTGGTAAATATATGTTTGAAGAAGCATTATGAAATAACTTATTTTAATGGAGACTTTAACTTTAAAGTGAACTTTAAATATAAGCTTCCGTGGGTTAAATCTGCATTTAGGCTTAGATTATAAAATAAAAAACTCATAAATCTCAATTGCAACGGCTTAAAACTCATAAAAAGTAATGAAGTTGTGTATTGCAAACTTCGAAAGCGTGTATATTTATTCATAATTTTCTAGTCCATCCTCTTAAATACAAACTTCCTTCTTTTCCATAAAGCTGATTATTAAATATTTACTTTTTTTTTAAATAAAAATAAGTTCAATTAAAAAAGTTTTTAGAGCCAGTGGGATGGATGTAAAGTACTTCAATACTTCTTATTTGGTTAATGCACTTTATTTCGAAGTTAGGAGTTTGAAAGTTTCGCCGTTGAAGTTAAAATTTCCGTGCAGGTAATGATTTAACTTTGATAATAAGAAACGTATCATGCAAATTGGATGGATGATCACTTTAAAATGCGTTTTTATTTTTTTTTAAACACCTGAGAGAGTAGGCTAAACTCTACATCATTAATGCATCAGACTCTCTGTGCATCCTCCTCAATTCCTGACGTGTTTACTTATACATGGTATATTTTACGTTTTTGTTGTTTCTATAGTTTTGTGTGTTACTTTTCTTGGCTATATTTTATTTAACCCTTAACTTGGCAAACAAGTAAAAATTTAAATTAAAAATATTTTTTTGTCAATTTTATGTTATAAGACCATTAAAGTGACGTTGTGATAAAAAAAAATATTTTTTTTGTAAAAATGACTTTGATTTGCAAATTTGTACCTAAGTATACAGTGCCAATAAAGCGGAACATAATTCGTGTGTACTGACTTACACTGTGCCAAAATATACATGCCTTAAACGAACGTAAAATCCAAATAAAAGTGATAGTAATAAAAAGTAAAATAAAAGTAATAAAAGTATTTAACTTTTATTACAAATTACAAATGGTGATTTTAAATTAACATAAACGAACAAAACAGCAAAAATAATCTGTTAATTGTTATTATTATTGTGAAAATCATAAAAACAATTTCTTTTAGAAACAAAACAGAGGCGGACATCGCATTTTCCACATGACACGTGGGTTTGCGTGTCAGGGCAATTGTGGCATCTTCCTTTAGTTGTAAACTGGGGAAAATGTCCAACTCAATCGAAACGCATTTCATTTTCAAATCGAGGCTTGAAGATGGTTTTCAATTTCTTTGTGGTGTACTATTTTCATCTAATTTTGGCCGTACTTTCTTTTTGCCTTTTAAAATAAAGAGCCCAGCAATAGAAATACGAAATTCCTGCGGGATGCATTTACCTTTATGTGTCTTTTATACAGAAGCCATCTATTATTTACAGAAATGTCTAGTATTTGAGAAAAAATAGACATGTACCATCTATGTGTTTTTAAAGAAGTTCTGTATAACGACACCAACATCCCAAGCAGCAAGGTATCGTCATTATGACGTGATTTTTTGGGATTAGTCGTCAGAAACATCACTATCCCAATTAATGACGTTACTTTGACGTCATTTTTGCAACGTTAATTAGACGTCAATACAGACTCGTCATTATGACGTAATTTTTTAGTATTAATTTATTCGAAATACAATATCCTAATCCGTAACGTGTATTTGACGTCGCATTGATGACATAGAATAGACGTCACTTAGAATTCGTCATAATTACGTTATTTTTTCGTATTTTGCCTAGCCTGGGACACCCGATGTACACGTTACTTTAACGTGATATCGATTCGTCAAAATGACGATATGGAATGACGTCATTTCTCTGTGACATTCTCACATAACCATAACGTTATTTTCACGTCATCAAATAACGTAACACACACCAAAAAATTACGTCGTTATGATGGCATGATGTTGCATGGGATACCTGCCAAGTCAACACCACCGGTATGCTGGTTATAGTGTTTGATGACTTGGGGATATATAATCTCATTTTTTTTTCGTATCCTTTGCTTCTTTTTATGAATCGTTTTATGCTGGTTACTGGATGTGCATCTACATACGAACTACAAATAATGACAGCTTGCAGTTTTAAGTGTACAACCTCTTACTCTGTTAGATCGTACAGTGCCCAGTGAGAGTATTTCTAAGGAATCGCGCAATTAGGATACCAAATTTGGAGTTGAAAAGAAATTGTCAAAATATAAAACTTTTAGTGCTGGGTCAAAAATAGTTTTACTGAGAGATATCACTGTTTGTTCACTGAAAGCGAAAGATGCATCTTCCCTATTAAAATTGATTTCTCGAAATATGTCGTCACCTCCCTAAGGAATGAGGTCATATACAAACCCTGATACTCCATAACGTAAAAAAATTTAAATCGCCATTTTTTAGGTTTATTTTTTATGTATTGACGTCTAGAGTTAGCCTTTTTCCCCTTGTAGGGACCATCATCTCATCAATTTACATTCGGGTTTCCTCTTCAACTTTTAAAATATTTTTTTATCTAAGATGGTTAATAACGGGACGAACTTTAAAATAACGATCATCATTCATATCTTCATAATTTGTAAAGTGCAAGAAACGGCGAATTTTCTGGTATTTTGTTAACATCATTACGTTAGCTATTTTCTCGTATCTGAGTTTTGTGCTCCAGTAATCCGTGGATGCTGGCATTGAAACTAAACCCATTAATAATTATATACCAAGAAAATCTGTAAGGTCATTTACATCTATTTGTATTGAAGAACCAGAAACTTGCTGAGAGTAAATATTCGTTTGTTCTATCATATCTAGTCAATTGTCATCAAAAAATAATTTAAAATAATCTATTGAAGACAAAACTTGCTTAGGTGGATCAAAACAATCGGTGGCTATGTCTACAAATGTAAACAAATTGTTCATCTAACCAGTTATACTCTCTTTGCTTCCTTTTACGCTTACCTGATTTTACCGGAATGTTTGTCTATTTAAAATTTAGCGCTTCTTTACTTCTTCCTGTGTTATGTTCGTCAGTAATCTGTACCTCCTCCTCAATATCTGCTTGAAGTTTAAGAGCCTCATTATCTCTAATTTCTACTTCTTCATCATCACTTACTGCTATCTCGTATGCGGCTTGAACAGTCGTTAGAGTATTAAACTTAAGTGTTTCTTCATAGGTTTTATCAAATAAATTGTTCGTTACTGGATAGGCAATTTGAGCAGATGGTAACATTACTTCCTCATCACTTTCAATATCTGAGTCGATTCTGCTGTTGGGAATTAAAATGTTTAAAGGTTCGCTAACTTTACTATTTTTCTCGTTCTGTTACTTGCCATTATCTAAAAAAAAATAAATGCATAAGCAATCTAAAACATTATAAATTCCTATACGAGGAGATCTTAGTACACAGGAAACGCTTGAATACAGCCCTGTCTCGTCAATTGTGATGGATATGTTCAAGATGGCAATGTGTATTAAAATATACATTTATAATCGTTCGTTTACTTGGCAGTGTGAATTTAAGTACACTTGTTTTTTAGAAGACAATTACATTTTTTCTACAAATTCTACAGATAAAATACACATGTACAACCATTAAGTAATATCCATTCTAATGATTTTTAGTGATTTATTTGCAATTGGTACATACAAAAGTATTCGAAATCAGAAATTGCTTACCTGATGCACGGACAATTAAAAATGGCTGTTAAAAAGCATAACTTACTAGACAAGATGTGTATCTTGTCAGATACACAGTGCTTCAGATATACAATTTTTCCCTGAAACATAGAAGAAATTAAGACACACATCGTCAAGTTAAGGGTGGAGTAAGTTCATTAATTGTGGATTAACCTTTCATTAATTGTTCCAAGGCAATTTTGACTGAATTATGTTTGCCTTAACACCGGTTTGACTGTTTCAGATAATTAAAATGGTTTGTTCTCGTGACTTTCTTTTTAAATTTTCTGACCAGTTTCTTGTCTTACCATTTCCATCTATTAAACTTACTTTCAAAACTATATTTTTAGTGAACAATAACACCATAAATTGTTTCATTTAAAATATAACCAATATAGGTATTACTTAATCTGAAATATTCCAGCCTCCACTTTTTATAATATATTCAAAATTAATTATTGGTACCACATAAGCTATTATTAACACTTTATATTTTGAATATCTTTATTAGATAGCGCACTAAATCTTGATAATAATCATGGTTTCTATAATTATAGGCTATGGAAGGTTATACAGAAAATCATTAAAATTATTATTAATTATTGTAACATAAAATGATAAAAACAGTGTCATAATAATTTGATTTTTGTCTATTTATATAATTCGTCCTACTTTTTAAATGAATTTAAATATTCTTCATTTGAAATTCAAAATAATTATCGTCAAGTATATAATTGAATAAAAGTAGGTAGGTATAGTTTATGTAAATATAAAGAAGATATAAATTGCTGTTAAACAGACGATGTTTAAACATAAGTATGAAAAATTATGTTTAAAATTTACCTAAAAATGTTAAAAAAAATATCTTTTTGATACAGGTTTGACATTAAAACAATTTATGTATAAATATTTGGGCCCTTTACCCCTTAAACCTAATAATGGAAAAATAAGCCTGCAGATGTAAAAAATTTGGCCCTTTTACCTCTTATGCCTGCCGGTGTAATAATATTTGGCTCATTTTTATGCCTCATGTAAAAATATTTGGTCCCTTTATCTTTTAATACTGTTCCGAAGGGTAAACCTCTAAAGTCAAAACGTACCCGTATTTAGGAAATCATCTAAAATTCGTATGATTTCGGTGATATCGCGAAATCATTGTACACAATTTCCTATGATTACTCTATAAATTTTCATCTTGAATATTCAAATTACCTTTTTTTGAGCGCCACTTTATTTTTTGTTCGACCTTTCTTTTGTCCCCTTGTCTTGTTCCACAAGCTGCTGCGTTTATATTTCTGCGCCACCATGACTTCCGGTGATGAATTCGGTAATTTCGAGAGAATTTGTAGTGATTTCGGTGATTTAGAGTGAAAATGTACCAGTATTTCGGGAGTGGTTCATTCCTCGGCCTGTCCATATCAAAATATTTAATCTTTTTTCAACTTACGCCTGTCCGTGAAAAAATAGTAGCACCCTTTACCCCTTAAGCCTGTCCATGTCCATGTAAAAATTATATTAGGGTCATTTATCTTTTTAATTCTAATATCAAATTCAGATACCAGTCACATATTTGACTTTGTAAAGTTAACTATTGACGTTAAATTTTGTGTGCTTTTATTGACCTTATTTTGTAAATAAATGGGATTTTTAAGTACCTTGTTTATTTATAACTGGTAGCAAAGGTATTTTTTAAGCTTTTGTATATCTTGTGATACATATGTGGCATAATTATCCTCTCCAATTTTAATAATAGGGGTATATTATCAGCTGGTATCTTGCTGTCCATATTTTTCTCATGTTATCACCCAGCCTATACCGTTTAGGGAATACCCACTTGTGACAAAACTCCTACAAATAAAACATGAATTTAGAAACCTTTTAGTCTCTGTTAATTATTTATGTCCTCATTTCCATATAAAAGGTATGATTTCGGTGCTTGACGTTTAAAGATTAGTGACGGTTGACAGGTTTGACACTCCTCGAACAAAGCATCAGTGCTTAATTAATTAATTTGTGAACACGGTCTGATTTTAGTTAATTTATATTGAGATTTTGGTAATTTCGGAACGAGGCCGTATAACTTGTATTATTGCGGAGCGTCCCACCATTGTCGTTTGTCGTTGTCACGTATTTATGGGCCGTGACATAGAGAGTTTTTACACAAAAACAACGTTATTTTATCCACGTGTATGTTTTTCGCGTAACTTAAAACAAATTGTTACTTGTTACTTTCATTTACTGTACAATAAATAACAACACTAATAAAATATTGTAACGTTTGTTTAATTTATTTATAGTTTATTTATTTAAAACAAACCTTACATTGGTGTTAGAAGTGGAACTGTAAATAAATAGTGGACAAAAATGGCTAAAAAACTGTGCGATTTGAAAGTGGCTGAGTTACGTCGGGAATTAGAAGATAGGGATCTGCAGACTACAGGAAAGAAAGCAGAGCTGGCAGTGCGGCTTAAAGAAGCACTGGAAAGTGAAGGATTGGATCCGGAAACGTATCTATTTCCTGATCATGCGTATTCTATAATTTCTTCTTTGGAAAGTAAAACGTTTTCCATGGAAACCAAAATTTCTTCCTTAGAAAATAAAGTGTCTTCTGATATTTCTTCATTAGATAATAAAAATTTTTCCAAACAAACTAAAGTTTCTTCAGAAACATTTTCCTTAGATAGTAAAGTTTCTTCCTTAGAAGAAAAGGTGTCTTCTGAAATTTCTTCTATGGAAAATAAGATATTATTAGTCGAGAATAAAATAATGTCTTCTGTTGAGGAGAAAATAAAAGAGATGAAAAAGAAGATAGAAGAACTGGAACATACAGAATCGGCCAAGGACGGTGAAATAAAGTGCCATAAAACCTCAACTTTCGACGGAAAGATGCCATAGACCAACTAGGTACTTTAAATAGTTCGAAACAGCTGCCATAGCAAACAAATGGTTTAAACGAGAAAAGGCAGTAAATTTGACCATCGCCCGTCGAGGAAATGCTTTAAAAATTCTTCAGACAATACCTGTGGAATAGACGGATGATTTTAAACAACTCAAAAAGAGACTAAACATGCGATATGGCCACGAACACTTGGAGCATTTATACCAATCACAGTTGAAGAATCGCAAACAGAAACGAGACGAGATCTTTCAAGAATATGAAGTAGATATTGCCCAACCGATGCCAAACTCCAAGAAATGCCAACTATTTCAAAATAAAGTCAATTTCCTGGGTCATATAGTCAAAAAAGATGGCGTAGCTGTAGATAAGGAAAAACTCGTTTTTATCAAAAAGTGGCCACAACCAACTGATACGTTTCAAATTAAGTGTTGGATAATAAAGACAAATTGTAATAAATAAATTAGAATTCCGAGTGTACTAGTGCCTAAGTATTATATAAATTAATTAGTACGTTATAAATAAATTGTAAATAAAGTGTTTTTAATAAATAAACTATAAATAAATTAAACAAACGTTACAATAATTTAAAAAACTGAATAATTTATTTGACATTTTTTAATGACAGCAATACAGAAAAAATCTGTGGTTTTACAGTTGACAAGCATGGTCATCTAGATAAATCAGTACCTGTGCCGCAGTGCATTAAATAAGTTTTATTAGAAATGCATTGCATTGTTAAAAGTACTATTTATAGCACTAAAAGTAAATCTGAAAACAAGGGCGGCTCCATAAGGGGGGGGCGGGCTATGGGTGTACCCCCCCTCCTGAAAATCGACAATTAATTATGTATTTTTTCTTAATATGTAGTATAAATCCGCAAATGAATAAATTGTTATTAAATAGTTATCGGATTGGCGAACATACATACGCCCGTACAGACAATTATTCGAGTTTTTGAGTTTTCGGACGGTCGTATCCATAACGAAGAATGTTAAAAAGTGGGGGTAAGAAAATGTATGGCATCCACTCACCAATTGAATGAACATTAAAAATAATTAATTAAAATAACTTAGTGTTTAGGGCATATCCTTTATTAAGTTTGACAGTATTGTGTAGCACATCTAGGACTAAATTTGGTTTTGTTTTCTGTATACTTATTTTTGTATTCTAACCTTATTGAAGCATTTTAACATTTACTGTATTTTACCCTTATTGTTGTATTTTAATCCTTATGTTAGTATTTTAACTTTTGTGGATCATATTTAATTTTTGTGATGTAGTAGGTCCCGTAAAAATTGCTGCACTAGTATAATTGTTCCAAATGACGTCCATTTTCATATATAGATATATTTTAATAACATTCTTTATAATATAATACTTTCTTTATTCAATGCGCTCAAAATCCTACCATATGTCTTCCAAGCTCTATTCAATATTTCATAACAAATTTCTTCATAGCCAGCCCTTTTTCGGGCATATATTATTAACCCCGTTTCATCATTTCTACTTTACAATGCGAAGCAAAAAATCAATTAAGTACACAAAATATAGGCATCTAAAAATGTTCCCTGCTTATATATTTAATAATTCTCACCTAAGTAATTCGAATTTAATTATAACTTCCAACAGTTTATTATTGATGATAATAAAAAAGTAATGACTGGCAGTTTATCTTTTTCATTTCGTTCTATCAACACCTAATGCTGTAATTTGATTCCCATAGACTTGTGAACATGTGTTACTGTTAATATCAATTTTTTATGTTTATGTAATAGTTCTTAAAGTTACGAGGAAGCTGTTAAATATCATCACTTTACAGATTGCACCAAATGGCTGACGCTAATTTAATTTTAAACGAAGTTGTACTAAAGTTGAACTGAAGTTATACTGAAGTTGAACTTAGATTTGTGTCAGGTTTTGTTGTTACTAAAACTTGTCAGGTACCTAACCCAGCAAACATTTTGGTTTAATTTTACGTCGAGACTACCTAAAATATGTATAATAAATTTGGTCGCAAAATTAGATTTAACCATATTTAACGAAAATTTACGTTATCTCGACGTGGATTCGACATAAGTGGAGAGTAAGACGACGTTGAAATTTGGTTTTATTGACCAAAATAGGTAAAATTGCGCCTAAATCCACATTGTAGTAGCCTACTACGTTTGGTTAGTAATACTTCTCGAGGGAAATTTGACGTCAGTATAACGTCAATTCGACGTTGATTTAACCAGCTTTAGGTAGAAACTACAAAGATTTTCAGATGACGAATGACTTCAAGTGCACAAAAAGATAAATTTTATACTTATTTGGTGATTTTATCTATAGAAGTCGAAATATTGTAGGAAGTGACCAACACAACTAAAACATATACTTAATAGGTTACGTTTGTTAAAATGAATGCGAAGGAAATTTTGT